TAAGTTGATTCACTTTTTCATGAAATTTTATTCTTTTTATCATTTATCATATTTTAAATATTTTTTCATACTATTTCTAATAATGCAAGTTAATCCACTAACTTGTGTATTCAATATTTTACTATAAAGAATGGTATTAAAAAAAATGGTGTTAGCTTCGAGGGATTAGGATACTATTGTCAAAAGAGAAGGAAGAATAAAGTTTATAGGGAAGAAAAAGAATTTGTACAAAAAAGTGTCGAAGAAACTCAATAGAGAAGAGAGGTCAATTCCTAAATGACATCAAATGTAGCGAAGCAAATTGTAGCACAAGCACAACAATGATCATGATTTATGCCATGCAAACAAATCAAAAACTTATTATCTATATGAAAGTAAGAAGTGAAAGAATCAAATGGGACATCTAGAATGAAACATAAGGAAGGTGGAAAACTAAGTGTTGAAAGTGACAATCTTCCATGTTCATCTCCAACTCATAGCATGCCATCAGATTTTGCAGGCATCCTCCTGAGGAAGTTTTGTGGAACTGCAGGAATTTCAAAGCTGCGAAACCTTGGAGGTCTCAAGACATAAGTGAGACAAATGAACATCAAAATGCGAAAAGGAACAAAATAAGTCACAATGACAGCCACAAAACAGAAAATAACAAACAAAACAGTTGCTCTTGGGTCCCTCCAGCTGAGTAGAGACTGAACCCTTTCTCCTTGAGTTGCCAAATCAGACATCACATCTAGCACCCTCCCTGCAACTGCCCTTAATCGATCATACCTCTTCCTTAAGTTTTCACCACTACATTTAGAGGGATAGGGATCAAATTCTTCTTCTAGTTCTTCAACAGTGGCTGTGTCAGCCTGAGACAAACTCATATCCATGTGGGAAGGATATCTTGGCCTTGTTCTATAGCGCCAAATTCCAACCAAGAGGAGGGAGGAAAATGCTGATGGCAAAACTATTTTAGGACAGAAAATGATAAAGAGAAACATGAAGTAACTAACCACTGTGGTAATTGAACTCTTCCAAGAATGTATCTCATGAAACTGTTTAGCAGCAGAAACCAAAACACTCAGAAGACCAGCGATCCTGTAAAATTGAGCTTTTCCCCTCCTCATGCTCCACCCATTTGCCCCCATGTCTAGCATGAACTCCACAACCTCTTTACTGAGTGGTGGTTCAGCCCTTCTGAACCTCAATGTGGTGATTACAGCAGCTTGGTTTCTCAAATTGTCCAACTGAAATCTAGACAACGGGCTTATGTAGTGCATTCTCGGGAGCAATGGTTGTGCGTAAGTTTGCAAAACATTCAACAGAGATGGACAAGAAAACCTCACAGCCAACTGAATTTCTCCCATCTTCTTGGCTCCTTGAGTGTGCAAGTTTATAAGTGGATAAGAGTGAGTGTAAATCCTATCACTTTCAAGTGTGGACAACCGAATCCTTACCTTTCCAATTCTCTTATCCATTGCTTCTTCAGGTTTTTTTCCTCCAGCATTTTTTACTACATTCAAGTTTCCATTATCAAACACAACAATGGTGATCACAGTGCAGGGATCATTCACTTCCCAGGTGTATTGCTCATTCCACTTGGGAGAAAGACTATCCACAACCGTCCTTGTCCTCACCCACTTGAGACCATACTTGGCTACACAAAAGGCATCAGTGCGGTTATCCTTCTTCATTGGAGAGAGCCCAACAGCATTCAGGATTCCCAATTCAAGAACACCAATACTTGGTTTGCACAAGTTCTTAGATGATGGCCTCACATCACTAGTGTAGTGAGTGGCCTCATCAAGAACATGGTACCCTCCATCCAAAGAGATCCTCAAGTTAAGTTTACTTGAAAACTTGACCTTTTCTTCACCCTCATTTTCTTTAGGCATCTGAAGGTTGTACCACACACTAGCTGGTGGTGTGGCATCAGTTCTCTGCTGCACATTCTTCAGAGGAATCACACAACTTCCCACCCTTTCATGCTTGGTGTAACTCCCTTGCTCAATTGTCACAAACAAGCAATCATCAAATGGTTCTGCTACAACAAACATCAAATCCTCATTCCACATGGGGTTTGTATTACTCTTCCTAAAACGGCTCCTCAAAGCCAAGTTCCCCATAACACCTTGGATGAAAATATCTGAGTTATTACCACTCTTAACTTTGAGCAACAAATCCTGAGCTTGAACCACATTAACTCTAAGATACCAAAGCCTAGGAGAAATATATACCTTCGAACGAGTGTGTGCAATGTTTTCACCACTAGTCTCTGCTGCATCTGAATGCCATGCCTCAGGAAAAGCTTCATCAGCCTGAGTTCCCATCCAAACAGACAACATCAACTCTGCTTCAAGCTTCACCCCTTTTTGATCCTCAAGTTTGTACCATTGTGGTGCCAAGGGGCTATCAGGAGGAACCCTCGTGGGAACATCAGAAATTGTGAATGCAACACGTCCCAATAACCCATCAGGGTCACCATTATCCTTGTTCTGAACCACAATTTCCAAAACTGGTACTTGAATCCTGTCCTTGGAAAAAGCAAAGACTTGGTTCCATTCTGGGGTACTGGTTATCCCCAAGCATCTGGTTGTTCCTGTAAAGCTTCCAAGATTCACTTTCACATGAGGGTTGCAAGGTTGAGATGCACCTAAGCTTTTGGCCTTCACCACCCTAGCAAACAGAAACTGCATTTTCTCAACCAAGTCAAATGCAGTGGGGAGCCTATCACCACTGATCACTCTTCCAGCATTGATGTTTGGAGTTGTCACCTTCAAAGAGAAATCCTCTTTGTTCTTCTTTTGTTGTTGATTTTGGTTTTGGTTTGCCATTTATTACTCTACAAAGTGCACAAAGAATACAACTAAATCAATCACAAACACATATATAACATGAATATATAGTTTGTAGGACCAAAGGGGAAACATACACTCACAAACTGTTGAATTATGAATAAGAACTCAAAGAATATCTTCCTTCAGTATCTCAAAAGAGAAATCCATGTGAGGACCATATAAAGCAAAATAAAGGTTTGGTGTAGAAGGCAAAATGAAATTGTCAGTTATGAAACATGATACATAATTGTACAGTAATTACGGTTTACAACAGCTATATGAAATTTAAATTCAAATTATATATTTACACACATGCACATACATGTGTGTGTTAATATATAATAAAAATAAAAAACATGATTAGATTTAATTTACTATAGCTCACTCTTAAACATCAAATAATTAAAAACTCAGGTACAGGAATGTGAAAAATTGTAAGACAAAGATGAACTAATAACCACCTTTAACCTCCTTCCTCACTTATTCCTCATAACAATTTAATTAAAACTACTAAAAAGCAGTTACTAAATGTCATAGATAATGGCTGTCACTCAGTTTCACAGTAGAATGTTCAAAAGTTTACAGTCTATATATTTTTTTACCATGGTATTCCAGTCTGAATATGTATTTAATTTTATTAAATTATTATAATGTGTGATGATATATGTTATGATTGGTTTATTTTTTGGATTTTTTATTTGATTGCGTATATAATTTGGCTTCAATATTTTGTAAGAATACTGGTGGTAATGTATCAGTTTTTATTTTTATTTTTATTTTTAAAGACTATTCAATTCAAAGCAATATCCTAGTACTCATTGTAACAGTTTTCCATGTTTTAGGACATGTCTTACACCATAGAAATCATATGGACAATTAACTACGAACCTTAAAACCACCTGGGATTCTACACATGGTTGATAGTTTAAACTTGGACAAATGTATGTTTTATGATTGATTTAGTTTTTAAAAAATGACATTCTCAACAAAAAAAAATATTGATTAAATTTTCAGAAAATCCATTTACATTTTCATGTATGGAGTGGGAAAAAACCTTATACTACACCTGCAATTAATAGTGAAAATTCTGTCAATGCAGTGTTTTAAAAATCAAGAAAAATATCAAAATTATTATTAAATAAAAAAGAAAAATATTTAACCATCAACCAATTATTGTACGCAAACATTTAAATGTTAAAAAATGCATTTGTGATCCATTATACAAAAGATCAATTAAAAGATAAATTCAATTCATTTAAATTGATGCATTCTCATTAATTTAATACATAAATAATATCTTTCTTTCAAAATATGATAGTTTATCCAAAAAAATATTTTTAAATATATAACAATAATAGTTTAATATTATATTAACTACTCTTTTATTAATTATATGATCTTTTAATTATATTTAGATATTAATAAAAACATAATAAATTTATTGAGAATAATAAAAATTAATACTTACATTAATTTGTATAATCAAACCTTTTTGATACAGAGGATTATATTTTAAGTTTGTTAGATGTTTTATCCTCAAGTTTCAATTAAAAGAGTAGAATTTGTAACATTAGAAACATTCTTAGTTTTAATATAACTGCCAACCTCATTCAACTACAATGTTATCTACTCTGTCAACAGCTTAGTTTAATTCACTATCCATGGTGGCTTCAGACCTACAACACCCTGCGATTATAACTAACAGAGAGTGCATCAACACAAGGGTTACATAATACAGACCCACATGAAGATAATGATGGTAGAAGTGAGTGACAAAACAGCAAAGATAAGATAACAAAAGAATGACGGGATGAATAAATCAGCCATCACAATGTTGCTTGTCAAATGAAGCAATGAGAAGAAAGTTCAACACTAATAGTGATCTACTGTGACTAAATTCATAATTGATAAATAATTGCAGTAATTTAGTAAATAGCAATTTGCCTTCAACATCCTGAGACTTGATGTCCAAAGATCCTTCTTCACTTCAAGGATGAATTTGAGTTACTGTCTGCGCAATCATCAATGTAAATCCTTTTAGCAGGACAAAAGCTTGTCCCAATAAAATGAATCACGGTGAGTAATAAAAAATGCATGTACAAGGCAGAAACAATCAGGGTGATTTGAAATGGTGGAAGTCTTGAAGCAATTAGGGATCTCATGTAACAGGATTCCAAAGGCTTAAGTTGATGTCACAGTCTTGTTGCAGAACCCATTTCTTGGCCTCTTGTTGGATATAATGTCAGAAAATGAGTCCACTAGTTGCCCGGCCAAACTACTAGGATCATCAATCAGAGTTTGAATGAAAGTATTTACCACCCTACGTTCTTGCTCTGTCGACCTCAAACTAAACCATGTCAGCAATTTCAACCTAAATTCCTGCTTGATATGACCCTGGCATTCTAGCCAGCGAATTACTTTTACACAATACTCAAAGTTTTCATCTAAAGAGAATGGACCATCAGATGGACGTAAAGGAGAGCCATTTATCAGAGTGCTGTCACAATCATGTGTCTCTTCATTTGTGCTTGCTATCCTTTTCCTACTTGCGTCTCCACGTGAGTCAACAGCTGGAACTTCTCCTGTTTGTCCATGGTTCCATGTTTGGGAACCCCCACTACCATGTGATCTTGCTAAATTTTTGTCTAAATCATGAGAAGCAGCATCATCATCTGCCTCAACAGCCTGGTGCAAAGTACAACCATTATCTTCATCCCTGGAAGACTCAAACGGAGGTGTCAGTTCTTCGTTTAAATCAGGCACTGAAACAACATTTAGATCGAGGTCTCGCGAAACTGAAGGTAACTGCTCTTGTGGTTTGCTAGGCTTGATAGTTTCACATTGCCCACAGCAATTTCTTTTGTCAGCACAGCAAAAACCCTCAAAGCTACCTTGTTCTTGAGCCCAAGTAAGATGCAATATTTTCCCAAGGTCTCGAACCTTAAATCCAGAGTCTGCCGTTGTGGGATTGGGCTCCAATTTGGAGCCAGAAGAATTACATTCAGCTTGAAGGTTCTCCTTTTTTTGATTCACAGCAACCGATGAAGATGAATTCTTTTCCAATATCTCAACGCTCTTGGTGAAACATTTAGCCTCAGAATGACCAAGGTCACCCATATCTGTAAAAGAAACAATCCGAAATGTATATTCTGTGCAAGGCTGGAGGTTGGTTAACAGGATCCTTCTCTGAGCTTTGGGAAACACACAAACAGGATCTTTAGTGTGTGATTCCTCCCTACTCTTGTAATACCAGAGCTTGTATCCCTTAATGCCCCCAGAAGATGCATTTGACATTTCAATCAAAATTATTTTGACTGAGGAAGCCGTTACCTCTTCAAAAACAACCTTGCAGGCAGCGGGAAGTGAACCCTCTGCATGTTGAAGAAGTTCATCATCATATACAATGTATAAATCAAATGGCTTGACAATATACATACATACATACATACATATATATATATATATACACACACACACACACACACACACATATATATATATATGTTAAGAGATAAAAGTAACAGTTCCAACCTCTGGATTCTGGATTTACATTGGGAACAGTGGCCAACCACTCGTTAGCTTTCTCAATAGCAAGAGAGCAGAGTTTCTGAACATCACTAGCAATAGGGAGTCTGCTGACAATCCCACGTGCCATCTTGGCAGAAACTCCATTAACTGGACCAACTTCAGTTTCTAGTTTAGCCTTTGCCTCTTTTACCATTTCATGCAATTCTTTAAATCTTGAAGTACCATCCAAAAGCCTGTAGCTCAAATATATCCTGAAACATAGTACATCAACACGTCTAGCATCTTTTGCTATGCTTAGCTGCTTCTTCCAACATCTGCCAGCATTAAACACGAGTCACCAATTTTAAAAACATTGGCTAAAAACTTAGTCACAAACACAATTTGAAAATGATATTAAATGATACGTACTGAGAAAGCCATATTGTAATTCATTTCTCTCGGAAAAAGACAAACGATCACATAAAAAGAAGCAGTTAAAGTTTGCTTCATTGTTGCAAGTATGTCTATGTGAATGATGAACTAGAAACATGAACATATTCATTTTTAATTCTCTTAATATATAGTTATAAACATAACACAGGTTGAAGCATATATGATATTTCACAGCATAAACACATAAATTTGAAAGATTAATCAAAGCCTGACTGTATCAATAAATTGACACAAAGAAAAGGAGAACATTAATAACTAGGAAAGTAAAGAAGATTACTCACCCAAGTATCCCAGTAACTTTACCGCAGGATGCACAACAATAACCACCATCTAGTTGCATCAGTTGTCCATGATCAACAACTCCCACTTTTTCGTGTTGAAGAGCACACTCAATATGGCAAGACAATCCACAGGAGTCCCCTTGAGCAGATTCACATGTGCATACCAACCAAAGGCTAGGGTCCTTGTTATCATCAAAAAGGTGGCAAATACAGCAAGAGCACCTTCTACAAAATGTGTCATCTTTAGAGAGAACTGCTCGACATGCAGAATTCTTACAAATCCAGGAGTTTGAATGTCCAAAATCACTAGGGGGGTCAGGAACTGGTACAAAACGCACAGGATTTTCTCCTTTGCGATGTTGCTTCCGGGAAGACTGATTGCTGACACCAGAAACTTTTTTGGAGTCCTGTTTCTTGACAATCTTATTGGTTGACTTAGTCTCAATCATCCTGCCTTTCGAAGAAATGTTCTTTTTGTCCTTATCAAAGCAAGTCCGTAGAAGTTCCTTCTTAGGACCAGGTTTTAAGAACTGCTGAAGAAGTTCTGAACTTCTTGAAGCATCATCTGAATGACCATTTTTCTCAGGAGTACTTTGCGCACTAGATGAAAGGCTTTGAACACCAGAAACTAGACACATAATTAAAAACCAAATACAGAGTAAGTCTGGTGGAGGCAGAAGGAAAATCTAACTAGAGTAAACAGTGAAACCTACAATGAAGTATAGATGTTGATCAACTGAAGAGAAATGACAAATAATAGATCAATCCCAAACAATAGCACATGCAATAAATACAAAATTATACTCTGGTTCCACTTCCACCAAAGAAATACGAATAAAAGGGTAACCACAGAGCAGTTCAACCTTGAATAGAAGAACTTCAACCCTTCAATTGTTGACAACCATCGTTCAGATCAAGGTAGTCAAACTAGGGGTTTTACGGGCTCAGAAAGGAGAAACAGAACAGCAAATCACGGAATTGTAACACAGCATACAATTCTACAAGATTCAGAAAATTCATATATACAGATATTACAAAAGTGAGAGAATAAAAAATAATAACACTTAAAATTTGCAATCATAAACATAAGAAAACAGTGCTGTCAAATGGAGTCACCATGCATGGCTGCTGTGTAATATCTTTTGCCAACTGCCATAGTCAATTTGTGAAGGGAAGATCATTGTGGCAGCACCATAGGCAATTTCCTCCATTGCCATTCCACATTGTGAAAAAGTCAATAAAGCTATACAGAATTCACAACTAAAGCTAGTAATGCCTACTGCCTAGAACAAAATTCATCTCAAACACCTAGGCCTCTAATATAGATTTTCCAAATTAAAACCATAATCATTCTGATGATCTTCATTTCCTCCATCCCCTTCATCAATCATATTATCAAGATGATCCTACCTAGAAGTGACACGGTAAGAACATCTTCATCCTCCTTTTGATTTGAGGGAGGGTTGCAAGAGATTGAAGAAGAAATGTAGTGGTTGTGCACCTCGGTTCACTTAATTGCTGCTTCTTGGTTCTCATATAGTTAGGGTTAGTGAGCACTTGGTTTATGGGCTTGGGTTTGCAGAAGCCCAACATGGAAAACTGTTTGGAACCCAACTCACCAAGCAGAATAGAAAAAAACTACAATTCTGCCAGGTCAACAACTCCACGCGGTGATTCCATATTTGCAAGTCTGAGCTCACACAAACTCAACCAGACTCACAGAAGCCTAAATCAGGTAAATCTACAAGTCAACATGCTGTTTTGACTATCATGGTTCAGATTATGGTAACCACAAAAATCAGCTTCAATAGACCCTAATTGATTTGCTTTTGAAATCATGCCCCAATTGTTTATATTTAATATCAAATCGAGCATATGTTAGTACACCAACACCTACTTTAGCTCCACACTCTTAAGCTTCATTTTAACATCATACATAAGCTTAAGAGTTAGAAATCCAGCAACTATTAGCTAAACACATCATGGTTATATTTCTACCTAGTTATCATGTATGCATCAATCAGTAGTAGCAAGAGAACCTGCAATAGAACCATCCCTACTTTAATTCAACTGAAGAAAGTAAATAAATTGTTCAAAATAGTACATCACAGATAGAAACCAAGAACAAGAGAGGAGACATAAAAGTTCCAACACGTCAAATCCAACTCACATGAACTAAATTTAAAATAAAAAATGAAGAACTAAATAATGTAAACAATATAAAAACAAAAACCTAAGAAGAGTTTATTCAGGAGACAACCATTGATTCATATGCCAAATCCAAGAAAGTTCAAAACAATTAGCACAATTTATCCAAATAATGCCAAATAAATCTGTTTTGACTCTTACATTTTAAATTATATTATTTTTCGTGTGATCAAGAAGTATCTTCCTAATTAGAACACAATCATTGTCTTTGAAAGCAATTCTCTTTCTATGGAAAAAAATCAATGCAAATCCATTACCACCTTCAACTTCAAAAAGGCAATAAAAAGTTTTAGACATCAATGTCAAAATTAGGAGCAGATGCTAATGCTGTCCTAAATCAGGAAATGAATTAGGGCATTAAAGAGAAACAGATACATCCCAAAAAAATATTGTATTCAGTTATTTCAGTTCAAGATGAACAGCAACCAAGTAGAAGACTTCCTCAGGCTGAAATGCAATTTATCATTAAACAGAGGTAACAAAAGTGAGCTACTACCCTGAATCAGTTAAAACCATAGAACAATCTCCAAACTATACTCCAAACTATATTCAAACGTCTAAATAGAGGAAAAGTAACAGGAACATTTGAGAATGAGAAAGTCAATACCTCATAAGCACGAGATCCTCCCTACAAGGCAAAACAGGAAATGAAAAGGGGTATCCTGACAGAGTTGACACTACAGGAGCATCTACAAACAATGTAGCAAATCCTGTAAGGGAGTCCAAGGCCATCAAGCGACAGCTATAGTTTGGAATACCCCTTTATATAGACTAGAGTATGCAGGCAAAGGAGAAAGACCTAAAGCTTTAATTTTTAATTTATTATACACATCTCAATTAACACAACTGCAAATCTTGATTCACATGCCCCATTGAAAATACTTTAAGGAATCTTTTCTTCTTCAATACAACCATTGAAGTGTACTCAATCATCTTGATCTTTCCTGCCCGATATTTGAAAATTTGGTCCTTTCCTCAATATAAGTACATAATTGAAATTATTCCATTCGTTCCTATTTATAAATTCCAATTACCTATTTCATCAAGATTAAGAAAGTGGTTAAGTAGATAGTAATAAAATTGTCCCAAAATTATATTTTATCTCAAAAATACTCTTGCCATCAATAGCTCTCTCTTTCTTCTCATAATTTGCTGGTACAACCCCTCACTGTTTTAATTAGGGGTGTTTTAGACTATAAATAATTAATGCAAAAGACATTATGGATTGGGTATCATAAAAGGAACCACTTCGAATTTGGATCTCATAACTAGGGACAGAAGTAATATTTCCTTATGCTTAAAAAGCATACTTCAATTCATAACAGAAACACACGATAATGCATTAATATTTCATAATTTAATTTCATTTGTTAAAAACAGAACATCATTGGTTCATCAAAATTCACATCCCAAGGTTTAAAGGGAAAAAATAATAGACATTCATATTGTGAATAAACATAACGGGAAAAACCAAAGTAAATATCCAATTTAAAATAAATCCCAGATTGTTTTTGTAGACAATCTTCATAGCCTTACCTAATTTAAGCGGAAAATTTAGTAGATCTTATGCCACATAATTCTTAGTTATTATTATCCTTAATAAGGTATCACAAAATATAACATTTCCACATAACAAAGGGCAAACAGTGTTGTTTATTTAGCAAAATATAATTCCAATTAACAAATAAGAGGAAGAATAGGAATTAGATTACCTTTATGCATTGCAGCCCATAGCCACAGTGACTTTCCAAAACTATACCTTACAGATGGAAAAATAGAAAAAAACTAGATTTTGACCATATGTGTTCAGCATTTATTAAACCTGAGAAGCTAATTCTGATATAACATTGATCCTTAACTCTAAGAAAGTGGCGATGCAACAGACACAACGTCAAGCATATATATCTACAAGGTATATTATGAATTTATGACATCATATGAGCCAGACAAACTTCAAGTTAAGGTTAGCCAACAAAAAAGGAAAAAAAATGTTGATGAAGCAGTTAGGCACTCACACAGTTATGAGGCAACAAATCATTGGGCTATAAAATTATTAAGTGACAAAAGGCCTTCCAAAATAAGCCACTCTACTTTCAATGTTTAAACCAAACAGTGGGCTGAAACTCTACATAAACATGTCCTTGTAGGGAAGAAAGCAAAAGAAACTCAATAGTTAGTTAGACATGTGTTGAAACATATAGCAATGTGTTTGTCAGTGGTAACACATATCAAATAACAGAATCATTAGACAAATCACACAGCATGCATTTTTCCCTTCCTAAATGGTGTCAACAGATGAGAAAACAACACTAGCCCTCACTCAGGCAGCCAGACAGCATTACAACCACAACAGAATGTAGCAACTAGTAACTACTGAAAGAATAAACTCAAAAAGAAGCTCAAAAACAAACCTTTAGTAAGGAACTTGTCTTCTAGATCCATTTTGTAAGTGCCCAACACTAAAACAGAATGGCCCTTCTCTGACAAACAGAGAAAAAAAATGCATCAAAAGGATGCTTACGTTATTGTGAAGAGCAAATGAGTCTCGTCGGTCCACTCAACTCCCACATGAACAGAAAAATGAAACTTTTTAGTAATGTCTAAGCTACGCATCACACGAAAGAAAACTAACAAACAGTAGTTAAAACACAAATTCCAATTTAATTTAAAAAAAATCCAATCATTATCAAATACTTCAAAAAAAAACTTTTCTTCATAGCTCACTTATTTTTCATTTACCTTTAACAAAGAAGAAAATAATTATTTCCCACGGAGAGAGTAAACATGTTTCAAATACACCAATTTCAGAACACAGCCTCTCTTGACTTGAACACAACAATCTAACACATTCAGAACCCAAACCTAAAAGTTCATGGCACCAACCATTAAAATTAAAAATAAATATCCCATTAAATTAAAAAAAAAATGAAACTCCAAATACAGCTGTATTATGTATGCCCATTTGACTCTAATCCACGTTCCCTCACGGAAAAGATTCAACTCCAATCAAAATTCAACAGCTAAATAAAAACAAATATTAATATTAATATTATTAATGTTACTATTATTGGCTTAAATGCATTCCAAAAGAAAGGAAATAATAAACAGATAAAATAATTGAGAAAGTGAGGGTGAAAGGAAAATCAGAAGCACAACAAACAAATCACGATTTAACCCTTCCACCAATACGCATTGCGCGCGATGCATTAGCGATAGGGAGACAAAAAAATCAAAGAGAGTCTCCATATTTTCTTCAATTTAAAAAAAATGGAATAAGCAAAATTTAGAAAGAATAACAGCCGTAATTAACACGAGAATCACGAGGCGAACATAAAGGTGGGAAAAAGGAAACGAGGAAGGGGGAAAACGAGAACAAATCTGCGTAAAAAAACGAATCGAAGAAAAAAAAAACAAAAAAAAAATGGTAAAGAGGTTTACTGACCTTGGGAGAATGGGAAGAGGAATCAAGGGTTTGTTGCCATGAAGAATCCCAACAACACAACACGACCTGACACAAACGTTGTTGTTGTTGTTGTTGGTGGTGGTGGTGGTGGTGGTGGTTGTTGATGTTAGTTTGCGTTGCGATAGAGAGAGAGAGAAAGAGAAGGGGCAGAAGAGGTTGGTTTTGTACGAGTCGTTCACGTTCTGGGGAGGGGGGAGGTGACGCGCGAGGTGGGGCGCGTGGGATGGCGGTAGTTTGAACGGTTCGGTTTTTTGGGGTGCATGGGTACGGATAGTGTAGTCAGGTCAGCTGCTGCTGCTGTTTTTCCCAATCTCTTTTTCTTCTTATTTGATTATTATTCATCATTTTTTTTAATTGAAATTTATGAAATTATTAATGGGGTCTCACAAATCTTAAAGAAAAAAAGTCCTATTGGATGAAAGTTATCTTAAAATTGCTATTTATATCAAAGAGATCAAGGTTAATTTATTTATTGATTTTAAAAAAATTATTTTTAAAAATTTTAAAACTTGTTTAATAAATATTTTTTTTAAAAGAGTTTTTTTAAACTCTTGTTTTACTTATAAAAATAATAAAATAAATAAAAATTGAATATTTGTTCTATTTTATTTTATTTTTTAGTTTTTAAATAATAATTAATTTAAAAATATAAATTTTAATAATTTACAAAGGAGATTACACCTACTATTAAATTTAGATTTTTAGTTTAAAAAATAAAAACAAATTTAAATTTTTTTTAATAACAAACACATCTTATAAAAATTATTTTTAAAAACAATAAATAAAAAACTCTAATAGAATATATATTTTTATTTAAGTAGTATTTACATTAATTTTATAAATGATTACACCGTAACGTTTATTAAAGTTGTGAATATTATTTTGAAGTTTCTATTATAACGCTTTCTCATTTTAATGTCATCTTCTACTTGAAGAAGAGTAACTAAATAATATTTTTAAGATTTGTCTAAAAACTAAAGAAAAAATAAATTAATGGTAGCAAATTATCGTTTTAAATCTACAAATTCTTAATTTGATGTACAAGACGTCGTTAAGAAATTACATCGTAGTTTTTAAGCATATAATATTTATAAGAATCCAAGAATGTACAAGAAAAATAAGAATAATAAAAAGCGAATTATAAGAATAATGTATTAAATTTTTTATACACAATAATTCGTAAAAGCAGTAGAGAAAAAATTATATGTGTTGTTTAAATTATCTCCTTATTTTTTTTAACATTGAATTAAAATAGGCTTTCAAGTTAATATATATATATATATATATATATATATATATATATCAAGCCTTCTTAAATTGATAATAATATATGACAATTAAAGTAAAAAAAATACTAAATATTGAAAGAGTTCCATGTCATTTTTCTTCATTTTTATTAATATAATTGGATTTGAGAAATTAAGAACAAAAACATAATTTGATGTTAATTCGAAAATTTTTACACCGTCTTATTTCGTGTATCTTGATCGTGCGTATATGATAATATTATTAAAATTAATTTTAATCTGTTTTAAAAATTTTGTTCATTACAATTTTATTTTTAAATAATATAAAAAAAAATTATCAATTAATTAAGTAGAATACATATAAATTAGAGTTTAGGATTTACCGTGTATATAAGATTTTATATACACCCTAACTTAAATTAAGATTATGTGATTGGAGACTCATAAATATTTTAAAATTAATCTTAAATAACATCTTTAATTTAAATTTTATAAATAAAAAATAAAATAAAAAGTAAGAAGTGACGAAATTATGATAAATAATTTAAGTTGATGTTTTGTTTTTTTATTGAGCATGGCCGTCTCTCTCTTCGTTATTACCAAAACTGGTCCTTTTCAGAGTTAGAAAATAAGGGTGGTGGAAGAGAATGACAATAATACCCCTATGATTTGGTTGGAATGGAATCTGCTGCAACTATTTTTGCTTCACTTTTACGTAATCGCCATCAACACCTGTACTTGTCATCCAAAAGAGTTCAACACAGTACCAATAACCTACTCGATCTGTAATTATTTTCAATTAAATTAATTGTAATTAAAATTAATAAATGTAATTCATATTAAAAGTTAGATCCTCCTATTGGTGGACGGATACAAATTAAAAAAAATTCTAATTGAATTTTTAAAGTTTTCAAATTTGTTTCTTTATATATATCTTAATATTGTGGAGTGATTTCATTATTGTAAAAATTTGTAATTGATATATGTGTTTTTAATCTTGAGATATCATTAATTTTATTTTA